GAATTTCTCAAGTTTCTTTGGTTGGCTTATTTCTAGTTTAATATTGTGCTTAGAGAACATTCTTTGCCTGGTTTTTAGCCCTTTACATTATGGTCTAACATCTTGCTTACCTGGGAGAATGATTCATGTGTGCTTGAAAAGAATGTGTATTATGCTAATTTCGTATTGAGTGCTCTGTTAATATCAGTTAAGTCAAGTCCAAGGCTTTAATTTGCTTGTTGATTTTTCATCTAGTTCATTTATTTTTGAGAGTGGGTTTACTGATATCTCCAACATTGCTGAATTGTCCACTTTTTCCTTCAATTTTGTCTGTTTTTTGCTGTAGTATTTTGATCTCTGTTGTTAAGTATGTGTTTGGTTTATTTTCTGGGTAAATTGACCACTTATCATTATAAAATTTTCATTTGTATCTGTAATAATATATATTGTGCTAAAGTCTATTTTGTCTATTAGTAATAGTCACTCCACTTCTCTTACATTTGTTTGCATCCCTAGACCTCTTTACTTATTTTTATTTGATATGTTGTAACATGTATCATTATTTTATTTCTTTTATGGATGAATAGTATTTCATTGTATGATAGACCATATTTTGTTCATCCACTTGTTCTCTGATAGACATTTGTTTCCACCTTTGGCTATAGTGAATAATATTGCTATAAGCATTCATTACAAGTTTCTTTATGGACATATATTTTCATTTCTTTTGGGTATATAGCTCAAAGTAGAATTGCTGGGTCTTGCTTTGGTTGTCTCATGTGGTCTACCAGATATCAGTTGGGGCAGCAGTTTTCTGAAGGCTCGTTTTGGCTGGATGTCCAAGATAGTTCACTCATGTGGTTGTTGGTTGCGCTGTTGATTAAAGTTCAGCAAGCTGTTGACCCAATCATCTGCATGTGACCTTTTCAGCTTGGTAGTCTTTTTACATAGTGGGTGACTTCCATCAGAGTCCGTGTGTGTGTGTGTGTGTGTGTGTGTGTATACACATACACATAGATTTATTTTATGGTCTTAGAAATTGAATGCATGTTAGGGAAGTACTTTACCAATGAGCTACATCCCTAATTCCTTTTAATTTTTTATTTCAAGACAGGTCTTGCTAAGTTGCTGAGGCTGGCCTCAAACTTGTGATATTCCTGCCTCAGCCTCTTGAGTTGCTAGATTTAAACAGTGCAGGCTACCTCATTTTTTTTTTTTTTTTTTTTTTTTGGTGCTGGGGATTGAACCTAGGGCTTTGTGCATGCAAGGCAAGCACTCTACCAACTGCCAACTGAGCTATATCCCCAGGCCCTACCTCAAATTTTTAAAGGCTCTAACATAAAAATGATTTTGTTCAAAGTTTAACTTATAGGTTTGGATAAATTTGAACTGCTCTCCTCACATAGAGAAATGTCATTTTAAAATTCATTATAATACTTAATGTTTGATGTTACTCTTATTGCTACTTTTATGGTAGTAAGTATATGTGCTGGTACAAAGCAAAATTATAACATTTTAATAATGTCTGTAATTTGCATAGTGTTAACCATATGTTAGATTCTTTAAGTGCTTTCTGTTACTTATTTCTATTATGAATCTAGAAATGTGTGTATTATTATTCACTTTCCTAAATGAACACACTGAAGCTTGGAGAAGAATGGATCTAGGACTGAAGAGTATTTCTGTTGCCTTGAAAGACCAGATTTAACAGCAAGATGTTATTTCTTTTGTTTGGTATTTATTAATGATTGATTGATTAATGCTGGAGCTTTATGCATGATAGGTAATTGCTCTATCACTGAGTAACAGCTGTAGCCCTACTTGGTATTTTTTAAAATGCTATGCTAAGGGGCTGGGTATGTGGCTCAAGGGGTAACACACTCACCTGGCATGCGTGGGGCGCTGGGTTTAATTCCCAGCACCACATAAAATAAATATTAAAAAATTCTCTCTCTTTAAAAAAAAATGCTATGCTAAAAAGAGATATATCCAGGCCAGCTATGGGTTCTCTTCAGTGAACTCTAGTTACGTAAGAACCGAGCGTGACATAGCTCCTAGCACATTGAACAGTACTGATCACTATGCCAGAAGAAGAGAACACTAGAAAGCCTTACACCAATAATTAAGTGCTGCAGTTCAGAAATACACATCATTTCTTTTCACAGCTCTTTGATTGGTACTAGTCAGTGTCCCCACCCATTCACAAGTATGTCAGGAATTGCAATCCAATAAATGTCTGGGAGACAGAGATATTTAATGAGTTAAATATTTAACAACTGTTAACTACATATAATTTCAACTAATGGCTGGTATCTTACAAGATCTTAATATTGTCTCCAACAGTGCCAGAAATCACATCCAGAGAAAGAACACTCAGAAAAAGAAGAGTCATTATTTAAAAAAAAAAATTTAAAAAATTGTCAATTGGCCTTTATTTATTCATTTATCTATTTGTATGTGGTGCTGAGAACCAAACCCAGTGTCTCACACATGCTAGTATTCTACCACTGAGCTACAATCCCAGCCCAAGGGTTATTATTCTTAACAGCAAGGAAAATTTCCCTAGAAGCCCCTAATAGACTTCACTCACTTAGTATTGTCCAGAACTGAACCATATGTCCGTTCTTAACCAATTGCTGGCAAGAGGAAAGAGATGATGATGATGAAGATTATTCGGGTAGGCAGTTCAGAGGACTGAACTCAGAGGTACTCTTCCACTAAACTACATCCCCAGCCATTTTTAAGATCTTTTATTTAGAGATAGGGTCTCACCAAATTGCCCAGGCTCTCAATTAGCTGTGATTACAGGCATACACCACTATGCCTGGCTCTGAGAAATGAGATTATTATGGTTAGCTCAGTCCAGGAGATCTACCTTCTAGAGCCAGGATTGAGTCACTTTTCCCTGAAGCTCATGGCTGGATTTATGTTAAGTGTAGAAAAAGATGTTAAAATATATTTCTCTGGTACTTTCTAGTGAGCCAAATCCATAAAGGAAAGATACATCAATCCTGTCAATAACAAAGGTTGAAACCAAGATGAGAAAGTGGAGAAAATGAATGTAGGCAGGAATTCAATGGGATTTGCTACAAAAAGCTAACCTAGAGGGATAGAGTGATCAATAAGAAATATTATACAGTCTGATATAATGACTCACACCTATAATTCCAGATTCTTGGGAAGATGAGGCAGGAAAATCACAAATCCAAGGCCAAGCTTCAGCAACTTAGTGAGACTCTGTCTCAAAATAAAAAAATTTAAAAAGGGCTGGGGATATAGTTCAGTGGTAGTTCAATCCCCAGTATTGATAGAAAAAATTACACAATGGGGGCTGGAGGTTTATGTCAATGGTAGATCATGTGCTTTATGTATACAAGATCCTGGGTTCAATCCCCAATACTGTAAAGCCAAACAAAATAAAAACCAAAAGGGAAGAACTGAGAAATGAAATTGATCAAATCATGATATGTATATATACAAATATATCATACCGATTCCCACCTTTATGTATATCTATAAAGAACCAATTAAAAATGAATAAATGGAAGGAAGACCAGTAGAGTAGGAGAAGGGGACTAAGAGTAGTAGGAGGGGAAGGAATTAGTGAGGACTGAAATAGAGCAAACGATATTCAATGTATGTATGTCAAAATAAACCCTACTATTATGTATAACTATAATGCACTAATAAAAACATTAAAAAATCAACCTAAGGTCTAGTTCTGACATATAATTTGATTAGAGTTATGCAACTAGTGTTCAAACCAGATGTTAAACCAAAGCAATCTGGTTCCAAAGTTTGGATTCCTTTTTCTTTGCAGTACAGGTGATTGAACCCAGTGGGGCTCTACCACTGATCTACAATACAGCCCTTTTTATGTGGAACAGCATCTTGTTAAGTTGTCCAGATGTAGCTCAGTGGTAGAATGCTTGCCTAGCAAAAGTGCAAACTCTGGGTTCAATTCCCAGCACCACCTCCCCTAAAAAAGAACTTGGACATAGTACCTTTGATATTTTAATCTTTTTTGGGGTAGGGATGTGGTGATTAAACACAGGGTCTCCCACATGCTAAAAAGCACTTTACCACTGAGTAACATTCCCAGTCCCTAAACTTTCAAAATTTTGTAGCCTCTTGCAAATAATGCTTCTACTTCATAAAAATCAGTAACAAATAGCTGGGCTCAATGACTCATACCCATCATCTCAGATACTCCAGAGGCTGAGGCGGGAAGATCACAAGTTCCAGGTCAGCCTGGCAATTTAGCAAGACCCTGTCTTAAAATAAAAAAGGGCTGGGGATAAACTCAGTTGTAAAGTGTCTGTATTCAATCCCCAGTACCCAGGAGGGGAAAAAAAAGAATTTCATGTTTTCACCATAATGTTTGAGATGAAGGATTTTTAACCTGATTTAAATATTACACGTTCTGTGCATGTATTGAAACACCATTTTACCCCATTAATATGTACAATTTTGTTTTATATATCAGTTAAAAATAATTTTCACCAGAGGGGAGGCCAAAGCAGGAGGATCACAAATTCCAGGCCAGCCTCAGCTACTTATCAAGACTGTCTCAAAATAAAAAATAGAAGTGGCTAGGAAGTATCTCAGTAGTAGGGTGCCCTGGTTCAAACATCAGTATAGTGAAAAAAATTTTTTTTAAATAATAAAAGAACAATTACAGCCACATTATTATTCTTATGTAAATAATATGGAATTTAGTCTGCCATCTAGTTGATAAGGCAGTAGTTTTTTTTTTCTATTTTCACTTTTTTTTCTAATGAGGTAAAAAATATTTTGTTGGTTGAAGTAGATTAGTTACCTAATGAAAGCAGTTTTCATACTACTTATTGTTTATATTCTTTTTTTTTTTCAGTCACTAAAAGCCATTTACTGAGATATGTACAATTTGGATTTTTAATTTTGTGCAGCTACAATAATATTTATGATGCTTTCATGAACAAAAGTATATTACAAAAATAGATATATTTCACTATACCTTAATAAAAATGGACATGTGCATGTATCATTATTTAAATGTTTATTTTCACCTCTGAGTATATTTTACCAATTTTATTATAAAATAAATCATATAAGATTTATTAATTTATGTTTATTTGTTTATACCATATTTGGTTATTATGTTATTATTATATACATATTGCTGGTTAATACATTCTTTTTTTTAAATTTTTTATTGTTGGTTGTTCAAACCATTACATAGTTCTTGACATATCATATTTCACACTTTGATTCAAGTGGGTTATGAACTCCCATTTTTACCCCGTATACAGATTGCAGAATCATATCAGTTACACATCCATTGATTTACATGTTGCCATACTAGTGTCTGTTGTATTCTTTAAGTCTCTAGCTCATTTTCTATTGGAAAGTACATAATATTTTATTAATTAATGGATGAACAGAAAAATAGAGTACTGCATTCGATCATTCTGGTTTGTTTGAGACTGAAGATTCTATGCTGTTAATATTTTCAATATCCTTGTAGATTTCAAAGTAGAAACATTTTTATTGCTTTTACTAATTTAAAAATGTAGTATATGGGTGTTCTTACAAAGCAGTCAAACAGTAATAGAAATATACACAGTAGAAAGTTAAAGACTCTATAATTCCATTCCTATATAACCAACTGCAGAAGACAGGGAAAGATGTAGTCATAAGAAGAAATGTAATAAATACATGACATGTAAACTATTTATATGGTAATAAAAAACCCAAATAGTAAATATGGATTTAACCAAATACTTTAACATAGCCATACTGGGAAAATAGAAGAGAGACAGAGAGAGATATAACAGATTGAAAAAAGTCCTCCCTTATCCCTCTATGAATTAAGTGACAGAAATATATGCATTTTTTAAGCAATATGTACATACATATGAAAAGAAATAGTCAATGAAGTTATAAGTAGTTGCTTGTGGGGAACAGAATCTGGTCCTACAGGAAGGGCAGACAAATAGCTTCTGTGTTTGGGTATAAGATTTTGAGAGCTACTTCATATTTTATGGGTATAACAACACTCAGATTGAGATTAAGCTAAAAGAAAAATAAGATGATAAAGCACCCATATTTAGAGACAAAATTCTCTTGAAAAGTTTATTTAACATTCCTAATAATAAACCATTCAACTTTCCAGTCTGTATGAAGTTTTGTTTTGAGATTAAATTTATTTGCAAACCCTCATGTAATCCAATTGGATATGAATAAAGTTTTCAATATCAAGTTTTTAAATAGGTCACTTGAATATCTGCCTTTTCCCATGGGATAACAATAATATTACTATCATATTTTTCTTATTTTTATTACAATTAGTTCTTTACAAGATTATTACTAACAAATCCTGATTTTTAGTACAGGTTGAGAATTCCTTATCAAAAATGCTTGGGCCCACAAGTATTTTGGAATATTTATACATATATAATGAGATATTTTAGGGATGAGACCTAAGTCTAAACATGAAATTCACTGATGTTTCCTATATTTTTACACATAACCTGAAGGTAATTTTATACATTTTTATTTTAAAAAAATTTTATTTTTTGCAGTACTGGGATTTGAGCCCAGAAGCTCTCTACCACTGAAACTATATTCCCTTTATATTTTTTTTTATCTTGAAAATAGAGTTTTGCTAGTTGATTAATTGTTCTGGAACTTGTGATCCTTCTCCCTCAGTCTCCCAAGTGACTGGGATAATAGGTATTTGCCACCACACATGGCTTATGCATATATTTAATAAAGTGGATGAAACAAAATTTTATGGTATGGAATTTTCCACCTCAGGTGGCATATTGGTGCTCAAAGTTTTGGATTTTGGGGTATTTTGAATTATTTTGGACTTCTGAATTAAGGATGCTCAACCTGTACTTTGCTAAGGCAAAAGAGAAACATGATGCTTTAAAATTATTTTTAAATTTCCTATGAACTATTTTATAGTACAAAACTATTTGATATTAAGTATTCTTATGTTCAAATACTAAAAGTAATCTTTACTTCCCAAATTAAGTTTATACTCCAAGATTTTATTTTTAAAATATTTACATAATAAATACAATTTTAATCACTAAGTTCTTCTTCATCACTGAAATATGTACTTTTCTTTATCCTTGGGCGTCTTGAATCATCTGATGTTGAAGGACCCCCTGCACTGGGTTTCCATTTGTTTTGTTCTTCTTCAATTTTGGCTTGCTGTAATGTGATTCAGAAAAGAAATAAAACCAGCATTTTGTCTAATGTTATTCATGGTGCATTAATTTGAACATGGCAAAAATGCAACACAAATGACACCACTTTCCACCCTTCCAGGTCATGAAGATAGTAAGATCTTCCTCCCAACCCTCATACTTTGTCTCAATTACAATATTCCTCAAAATCATCCTAGGTTATTTCTTTCTCTCTTTTTTTTGGTTCTGGGGATTGAACTCAGGGGCACTTAACCACTGAGCCACATCCCCAGCCCTTTTTTGTATTTTATTTAGAAAGAGGGTTTCACTTGAGTTGCTTAGTGCCTTGCTAAGTTGCTAAGATTGGCCTTGCTTTTTTTTTGGTACCAGGGATTGAACCCAGGGGCACTGAACCATTGAACCACATCCCCAGCCCTTTTTATATTTTATTTAGAGATAGGATCTTGCTGAGTTGCTCAGGGCCTCCCTAAATTGCTGAGGCTGGCTCTGAACTCGTAATCCTCCTGCCTCAGCCTCCTGAGCTGCTGGGATATAGGCATGTGCCATTGTGCCTGGCTTTCCTAGGTAATCTCTGAAAACTCTTTTTGGTTGAGCTAAACTCACTTTAATCAAATAATTCTGCTCAATTCTACAATGAAAATAGGAAACTAAAAATGTTTCAATGTTTTTCTTAAAATTTAGAAAGAACAAATGGGAACTTTTCATTCCCATTTGTTAGAGGAACATTCTGTAATCTCAAATTTAGGAGGTGAAGGGGAAAGATAGAGGCTTCCGTGAGGAGACAGTCAATAAAGTGAGTAAGGGCTGCTAGGTGTGGAGGCTGCACACCTATAATCTCTGTGACTGGTGTGGCTGCGGCAGGAGAATCCCAATTTTGAGGTCAGCCTGGGAAATTTAGCAAGACCTGACTCAAAATAAAAAATAGAAAGGGATAGGACTGTAGCTCAGTGGTAAAGTGCTCCTGGGTTCAATTTAGCACCAAAAAAAGAAAAGAAAAGAGAAAAAGCAAGCAAGGATTATAAATCTTTGTAACATGGTACTTAAAAAAAAAAAAAAAAATATTTAGTACCTGAAATGCAATGGCCTGACTGAGACTGTCAAGAGCAGGATCTTCCCCTTCATCTTCACTTTCTTCTACTTCCTCACTAAATTATTAAAGAGAGAGAGAAGGGTGTGTGTGTGGGGGAGATCAGCATGCAATTAATCAACAGTAAAAAGACAAATCAACACACTAAGGTCATAATAGATATACATACATTTCTTCTTCTGGTTCAGGAATTTTCTTTTTTTTCTTTTTTTCTTTCTTCTTTGGAGGCTCCCGTTCTCCAAGCATATTTTTAGGACAGGCATAACTTAAGTGTCCACTTTCCTTTTAATTCACATTAAAAAGAGGAAAAATACTATATTTGTTATTAACAGAAACTGCCAGGGACCTTATGACTGAAAGGTTTTAGAATTAAAAAAAAAAATCCTCACACTGGGAATACACAAAAGAAAATGACTTTTAAACAATAGTTTATCTAGCATGAGCAAAGTCTATGGGTTCATTTCCCAGCACTGCAAAGAAAGGAAAATTTTGTCTTCTTCATTTTTCTTTTTAACTGCTTTCATATCTACACTATACCTGCACTGTCCAATTATAGTAGACACTAGCTCCATGTGCCTACTATGAGCATGTCTGAATTGATATATACTAAAGGGAAAAGGCACACTTTGAAGACTTACGAAAAAAGACTATACAAATCTTAATTTAAAAAACCAGTAGGTGGCTGGTGTTGTGGCTCAGAGGTAGAGTGCTTGCCTAGCATATGTGAGGCACAATCCTGTGCACCACATAAAAATAAAATAAAGGTATTGTGTCCACCTAAAACTAAAAAATAAATGTTAAAAAACAAAAAAACTAAAAACGCCCCAAAAACCAATGGGCATGGGCTGGGCCTGTAGCTCAGTGCATTTGTCTAACATGCGTGAGGCACTGGTTTCAATCCTCAGCACCACATAAAAAAATAAATAAAATAAAAGCATGCTGTCCATCTACAACTGTAAAAGAAATTAAAAAACAAAACAAAACAAAAAAACAAAAACCAATGGGCTGCAGATGTAGCTCAGCTGTACAGAAAATGCCTAACAAACGTGAAGTGTGGGCTGCAGATGTAGCTCAGCTGTACAGAAAATGCCTAGCAAACGTGAAGTGTTGGGTTCATTCCCCATCACTGCAAAATAAGTAAATAAGTAAATATATAAATAAAATGGCTGATATTATAGTCCTATTTAATAGGACTACATTTACCTACAGAAGCACTTCCCAAACTGTTCTGGGACAATGGTATACCAACAAATTTTAACATGTCCCATTGGAAAAAAAAAAAAAAAAGGCTTAATATTGAAATAACTTTGAGAAAAAAAGGAGGAATAAATGTAAACCAATTTTGTGGGAAATTAAAGGATGTATAAAAATTTACAAAGTATAATACAATAAATCTATGGATCCACAGGCCAGATTCATTCAAAGTTTCTCAGTAATTTAATATTTACTGTGAACATGAAAAATGATATATTCTATTATACACATAACTATCTCTACTCCTTTTAAAAGTTTATTTTTTATTTTTATTTATTTATTTGCTTTTGGTGGTAGGGACCAAACCCCCAGGACCTTATGCATGTTAGTACTCCTTTTAAAACAAAACTTAGGACTTTGGAAAAACATCTTCAAAACATTCACTTAAAAGGGTTTAAAATCATAGAGATTGACAGAATTCGTATGCATCCATGCCACTGTTTGCTTCCTCTTTCTATTCATTCATCCATCTGTCTATATATCGTTCTTTGATGGGGAAGGGGAATAGGGAGTGGCAGTGAGAGAAAGGAGCCCAAGCCATTTCTTTGAATTGTTCATGTGATTTTGTAGCTAGGACATTGTCTCTTGAGTAATTTTCTCTCTAGTTCCCCATTAATACTTCAGGATTCAGTTTAAGTATTTTATACTGTCATTTAAGTATTTATAGCATCTTTTAGAAACTGACAGATATGAGATCCAGACTGAAATTTTTTTAGGGGTCTTATACAAAATTGTTCTATGGCTATCTCCCTCCTAATCACCAAAATGTTATATGGATGACAGTAGATCATGAATAGACTCAAGACAAGAAAATGTGGGGGTAGTTCGATTACAAAACATTAGCCATATAATGGGGAAAAAGTCCTTTTCAAAACATGTCTGCATTCCCAGCTGAGGCAGGAAGATCTCTTGAGTTTGAAAGTTCAATCCAGCCTAGGCCACAGAGTGACATTTTCAACAACTTTTAGAAGCTGGTTTTAGCCAGTCAGAAGTTCTTTTTTTTCCCCTTAGGACTGAACCCAGGGACATTCCATCACTGAGCTATATTCCCAGCCCTTAAAGTTGCTCAGGTTGGCCTAGAACTTGTGATCCTCCTGCCTCAGCTTCCCAAGTAGCTGGGATTATAGAAGTGAGGCACTGTGTATGGCTGCCAGCCTATGGCCTAGGCTGGTCTTGAACTTTCAAACTCAAGAGATCTTCCTGCCTCAGCCTCCCAAATAACTGGGAATGCAGACATGCTCCACCAAACCCACTGTTCTGAAAATTTTTTTTTCCCCATTATATGGCTAATGTTTTTAACCAAACTACCCCCACATTTTCTTGTCTGGCAAGACAAGAAACTAGCTTCTAAAAGTTGTTTTACTTAGAGACTTCAGACTCATCTAAGTAAATTTAATTTAAATGTAGTATTTAAAGATAACTGTGATTGGATAATACACTGTGATAATTTCTCCAGTTTCTACCTTTTTGAAATTGTTTTCTAAAAAGTGTTAGACTGTTATATCTCATGATTTTAGTTTTGAGGAACACCAATAAAAGACTATTGTGGAAAATACTTCAGAGTAACCTACAATGATTTCATTAAATTTTAGGTTTACTCACCCCACATTCATAACACTTAGATTTATCAAAGTAGTTTCGCCTCCTGATGAACTCCGCTGCTCTTCCATTGTCAATAGCAATGCTTGCCTTTATCACTCTACCAAACAACTAAACAGACAAAAATGTAAATGCAGAAGGATGTATTTCACAGAAACCTAAACTAGTTATTTGATCTTATTTCTTCGAAACCTCAATTCCATTTATATTTTGGATGATTTTAGCAATTGCCCTACTTTGATTGATGAAGTCTACCCCATGGTATTTTTCTTAGATTCTTCCAATGTTTTGGGAGCCCAGTATATCTTTGTCATCCCCATTAGATGCTCTCTGAATCTGTGGATACTCATTAACTATATTTCCCATATTTCCCCATATTTTTTGGGTTACAAACCTTGGTGAGAATGTTTAGCTTACCTGTTTGTTGTTTATTGCCCTTGTGCAGTTTTGTGCAGAGTCTTTATCCAAAAATAAAATAAATGCAACCCCTTTACTTTTCCTGGTGTCTTTGTCTTTCATTATAGTAACCCTTAAAGCATAAACAAAGAGCCAGTTAAAAATGAGGCAACGATAAATTTAAAAAATATGAATATTTAGAAAACTCGAATTTTAAAAAATGGTTATGTAATAAAACATTTACAAAGTAAGAGAAATCAATACATTTATAAAACCAGCTATCTCTTCAAAGTCAAGGGTATCAAGAATGGAAATGACAAAGTGAAAGTGACTTATAAGTGAGCACAGATTTGTGAGTTAGTCTCTGTGTCCTCTATTCTGTACCATTGGTCTACCAATCTGTTTTGGTGCCAATACTATGCTGTTTTTATTACTACTGCTCTGTAGTATAGTTTAAGGTCTGGTATGGTGATGCCACCTGCTTTACTCTTCCTGCTAAGGATTGCTTTAGCTATTCTGGGTTTCTTATTTTTCCAGATGATTGCTTTTTCTATTTCTATGAGAACCTGAAGAGACACTTCTCAAAAGATGATGTACAACCAATCAACAAATACATGAAAAAATGTTCATCATCACTAGCAATTAGAGAAATGCAAATTAAAAGCAATCTAAGATTTCATCTCACTCCAGTCAGAATGGCAACTATTATACATACAAACAACAATAAGTGTTGGCGAGGATGAGGGGAAAAAGTACACTTGTACACTGCTGGTGGGACTGCAAATTGGTATAGCCAATATGGAAAGCAGTATAAAGATTTCTTGGAAAATTGGGAATGGAACCACTATTTATTTATTTTTATTTTATTTTTTATTTGTTGTTCAAAACATTACAAAACTCTTGACATATCATATTTCATACATTAGATTCAAGTGGGTTATGAACTCCCATTTTTACCCCAAATACAGATTGCAGAATCACATCGGTTACACATCCACATTTTTACATAATGCCATATTAGTAACTGTTGTATTCTGCTACCTTTCCTATCCTCTACCATCCCCCCTCCCCTCCCCTCCCATCTTCTCTCTCTACCCCATCTACTGTAATTCATTTCTCTCCTTGTTTTTTTTTTTTTTTCCCATTCCCCTCATAACCTCTTATATGTAATTTTGTATAACAATGAGGGTCTCCTTCCATTTTCATGCAATTTCCCTTTTCTCTACCTTTCCCTCCCACCTCATGTCTCTGTTTAATGTTAATCTTTTCCTCCTGCTCTTCCTCCCTGCTCTGTTCTTAGTTGCTCTCATTATATCAAAGAAGACATTTGGCATTTGTTTTTTAGGGATTGGCTAGCTTCACTTAGCATAATCTGCTCTAGTGCCATCCATTTCCCTGCAAATTCCATGATTTTGTCATTTTTTAGTGCTGCCTAATACTCCATTGTGTATAAATGCCACATTCTTTTTTTATCCATTCATCTATTGAAGGGCATCTGGGTTGGTTCCACAGTCTAGCTATTGTGAATTGTGCTGCTATGAACATCGATGTGGCAGTATCCCTGTAGTATGCTCTTTTAAGGTCTTCAGGGAATAGTCCGAGAAGGGCAATAGCTGGGTCAAATGGTGTGGAACCACTATTTAACCCAGCTGTCCCTCTCCTTCATCTATACCCAAAGGACTCAAAAACCGCATACTATAGGGACACAGCCATATCAATGTTTATAGCAACACAATTCACAATAGCTAAACTGTGGAACCAACCTAGATGCCTTTCAATAGATTAATGGATAAAAAAATGTGGCATGTATATACAATGGAATAATACTTAGTAATAAAAAGAATAAACTCATGGCATTTTCAAGTAAATGGATGGAGTTAGAGAAGATAATGCTAAGTGAAGTTAGCCAATCCCAAAATACCAAATGCTGAATGTTTTCTCTGATATAAGGAGGCTGGTTCATAGTCGGGTAGGGAGAGAGAGCATGGGAAGAATAGATGAACTCTAGATAGGGCAGAGGGGCTGGAGGGAAAGGGAGGGGGCATGGGATTATTAATGATAGTGGAATGTGATGATCTTTACTATCCAAAGTACATGTATGAAGACATGAATTGGTATGAATATACTACGTATACAACCAGAGATATGAAAAATTGTGCTCTATATATGTAATAAGAATTTTAATGCATTCTGCTGTCATATATAAATTAAAAAATTTACATAAAAAAGACTGGTCTCCATAAATTTGTTTTCGTTACTTTTGTGACTGAGAATAAAATCAACCTGATCTAGAACAAAGAGAATTACATTTATTTGGGGCTAGGTAGGATTATAATCCAGAAAAAAACAGATTCAAGCAGTCTTGAAAATGTGCTACAAGGTTTTACAAAGTGGCAGCTAAATTTTTCTACAAAGGGTTTGGAAATCACATCACTTGTTATGAATTATGATCAGTGAGGGCAGAAGTTCAGCTGTTTTGCAAGAAAGGAACTGGGTGCAGTTTCAGTCTCTGGGTGGTTTTGGGGAAAAGGTCCCTTTATAGAAAGCAGTCAGTGGTGTTTAACAAAAAGGTCAGCTCTCATGGGGTATGAAGATGGATCTTCTTGTAGCCCATTTCAAAGGTTCAGCTGCAAAGCTGTCTGAGATCTGATTAACAATGATCTTCTGACTCCATCTGAAGTACCCTGAGACAATGCTGCTCCATTTCGTTTTGTTCCTTTACAACTCTAATCCAAATCTCTACACTGAAGCCAAAATAAGCTTTTAAAAAGTTTTAGAATCCATACTGGGTGTAGTGACTCCTTCCTATAATTCCAGCAACTTTGGGCTCCGAGGCAAGAGGATTACAAGTTTGAGGCCAGCCTTAGCAGTTTAACAAGACCCTGCTCAAAATGAAAAAATACAACCGAAAAAGGGAAAAGAAATAAAAAGAAAAAATAAAATTTGGGCAGCCAGGGATGTAGTAGTTCAGTAGTAAAGCACATGGCCCTGGGTTTAATCCTCAGTAAGTACCACCCTTCCCTCAAAAAATGGAGGAAAAAAAAGAGCCTTCTTCAATGATTCCTAGTGTTTTCAGAATGAAAAACAAACAAGATTAGGAACCAACGCGCATCTAGATCCATCTTTTCTCTCCCTTAACTTATTCATCTCCAGTCACAGGGGCCTTCTTTGTTTTGTTTTGTTTTCATGGTAATGAAGATTGAACCCAAGGGTGGTCTACCACTTAAATCTGGTTTTGAACTTGAGATCCTCCAGTCTTAGCTGAGATTACAGGGTACACCACCATGCCTGGTCTTTGTTTCTTTGTTTCATTTTATTTTCTCTTGCCACAAGGCCTGTAGTACAAGCTATTCCCTGTACATCCCCCACCCCTTTTTTTTGCTGTGCTAGGAATTGAACTCAGGGCCTCACACATGCTAGGCAAATGCTTTATCACTGAATAAAATCAACCTGAACTAGAACATCCCCAGTCCCCATCCTCCCATTCTTTTTGCCTACTTAGCTCTTACTTACCTGCAGGTTTTTTTTTTTTTAAGTACTAGAGATTGAATCCACAGGCACTCTATTACTGAGCTACATCCCCAGCTCTTTTTTATTTTGTAGCAGGGCCTTGATAAATTCTCAATGCTTGAAGTTGCAATCCTCCTGCCTTAGTCTCCTAAATTCCTGGGATTATAGGTAAGTGCCACTGACCCAACCCAGAAGTATTTTTTTGATGATTTGTAGTAGCAAAGTTAGTTTTAACAAAGTTAAAAATCTCAAGATACAAATGAACTTCAAGTGTTTAATATCCATTTATGGAAAACCAGAGAAAGAAACTTAGGATATAATGTCAAGTAAAAAAACAAAATTGCATGTTTGGAATTGTTTTAAAAAGTTGTCTACATATTTATGTACATACAACAACAACTGAAATATACATAAAATGTTAATATTTATTCATCTGATTATATCAAGTATCTTTTAAGGTGAATACTTACTTCACAACTTTGCCATACTTGGAAAATATCTGAAACAAAAGATCACATAAAAATTTATAATTTAAAATCATAAACACCGAATTTTCAGGTTGTAAACCTTTGTTATGGTTTATAAAGAAATTTTAGCCTTCCATCTATAAAACAGGTTCTACAAGAAATATTTTCTATGTGACCAGAAAAATTTTTTTTTAATATTTATTTTTTAGTTGTAGTTGGACACAATACCTTCATTTTATTGTTTTATGTGGTGCTGAGGATGGAACCCAGGGCCTTGTGTAGGCGAATGCTCTACCGCTGAGCCACTACCCCAGCCCCCAGAACAAAATTCTTATTGTCATTGGAATCACATGTATCTGCCTCTGTTCCTGAATTTCTTTCTTTTTTTTTTTTAATATTTATTTATTTTTTTAGTTTTCGGCAGAAATAACATCTTTGTTTGTATGTGGTGCTGAGGATCGAACCCAGGTCGCACGCATGCCAGGCGAGCACACTACCGCTTGAGCCACATCCTCAGCCCTGTTCCTGAATTTCTGATAATGAAGAGGAAAAAAACACTTATCTGGGCACAGTGGCACATACCTGTAACACCAGCTATAGGTGAGGTTAAGGCAAGAGGACCACAAATTTGAGGTCAGGCTCAGCAACTTAGCAAGAACTTAACAATAACCTTTCTCAAAATAAAAAATAAAAAGGGGGCTGGGGTCGTGGCTATGGGGTGGAGCGCTTGCCTGGCACCTGTGGGGCCCTGAGTTCGATCCTCAGCACCACATAAAAACAAATAGAAGAAAAATAAAGGTATTGTGTCCAACTACAGCTAAAAAAAAAAATGGCTGGCTGGGTAGGTAGTGGTAGAGTATCCCTGGATTCAAACCCCAGTATGGCAAAACAAATAAAGAGACACTTTACACATGTGATAGATCTAAGGCAGGTACACCGGACGGCTGCTGTTTTCTTATGGTATATTCTTGGCAACTATCAACTCCACCATAGCTTCAGCTAAACCAAATATCAATGTTGTGGAATATCACTTTTTGTATTCTACACCTACAGTCTAAGCAATAACTGTTTAAGACAGTCGTTAGACTGCTTATAAAACAAAAACTTCAACAAAGAAAAATCCATTTCCATAGATCTCCATTCTCTGTCCATCATTAATATGTAGTACTTTATAGTTGGCCCTTTCTTCCCTTTTAGTTCTATATCTTCAGCTAGTACCTATAAACTTCTAAGTACTCTCTTCCCCTTTTTCAGTACTGGAATTGAACCCAGATCCCTGTGCATGCTAGCCAAATGTTCTACCATTGAACTGTATTCACAGTCCTTATTTTATTTTGAGATGGTATTTCACTAAATTGCGTAGGCTGGTCTCAAACTTGCAATCCTCCTACTTCAGTCTCCTGAGTGGCTGGGATTTTAGGCATGTTCCATCACACCCAGCTAGTTCCTACTTCTTACACAATGGGCTGGGGATGTAGCTCAGTGGCACAGTATTTGCCTAGCATGTGTGAGGTCATGTGTGAGGCTCTGAGTTCAACCCTCAGCACTGCAAACAAACTAAAAAACCACTTATATAATGTATTTTAGAAAACAATTTTAGAATATGTTAATACATGCTGTTGAGAGCCACAGTTTAGTTGGAATGACCCCTGGCATTTTGCCAGAGGGTATGGTTGAAAGGTGACCCTGCTCTGGGAATAAGGCGGCTCCGGGATTAGGGTGGATCCTGCTGGGAATAGGGCGGCTCTGGGATTAGCCTGCTACTTTGGAGTTCCCATTGAGTTCTCGCAGGGTTCCAAGAGAAATGGCGCGCAGAGCCCGGTGGAGGGAGTGTGTTCCCGGGAAGTGTGTATAGAGTGCCGGTGAGAGTTGGGGAATAAAGAGTTGCTGTTTGAACCTACAAGGCTGTGTGGCAGCTCGGTTATTTTGTGTCCAGCCAGACTGCAGCAACATGCAACCAATAATTATGAAATTTTGAGTTCTATGATTAGTTCAGTAATGCTGCAATGCAGTGTAACTGGATTCCAGTGTTAGCAACATCAGATTCTGAGGCCAGTACACTTTTCTATATAACATTTTTTAATAGCTTCTAATTTCACTCAGATTGAAAGCTGGGCTCTTTAGAATAATCTGTATAGGCCCTATAAGGCATCCCTAGAATGGGTTTACCTCTGATTACCCTTCCTCTTTTGAAATACTTTTCACCTAGACATCTGCTTCTTCATTGATTCAGTGTTTTATTTGAAAGTTACCTTCTCAATAAGGGTATTCTAACCACCCTATCTAAAATTTCACCTTCATTACCAACTTAACATTTAATAGCCCTCCTTCCCATGCCTTTTCTCCTTAGCAACCAACATTTTAACATCTCCCTTAGTATCTAACTTTTTCATACTGCACAGTCTGTTTTTCTTGTTATCCTGAATCATGAATTCAAGTCTTTTTGTTCACTGATATGTCTCTATTACAATCTTTAAGAGTACTCAGCATATATTAAGCATTCAAAACACCGTCCATTTTGTTATAGAGAAGCTAAAGCTAATTTTCCCCTATGTTCTTTGAAACTCAAGCTATCTTAATTAATTAAGTATCATGAATCACATATTGAAAGGAAGGATGTGAATTCTTTCTTCAAGTGTGCCCTATTTTCTTTACTACTTTGGGTAAATGTTCAGAAAATAGGGCACACTTAAGAAAGGATTCACATCCTTCCTTTCAATTCCTCTCAACCACCCAAGTGCAGGAAAAATAAAGTGGGAAATTTTGTTCTCTATAAGGTAAAGAAGTGAAAGAATATACTAGAAGGGATATTCCCCCCGCCCCCATCTCAATCACCCTTATTCTGAACTGAAAACAACATGTATTAAACTGTTAAACATTCTGCTTATATGTGAATGTTATGAATACTCGCAAAACCTGAGAGTTAGGAAAGGGATATTTGCTCTTGTCAGCCCTTTACTCCAAAACCTCATCTCCATTACCAGTTAGTTTCAAAAGCCAAGTAAGCAAGCAGTAAAAACTGGCCTATCACAAACTGCTCCTGCTTTGTAATGCTATTTTATCTTCTGTTTATAAAAAACTCATTGTTTTCTAAAAAAGCATAGTAAATTCTCTTTGGAAATGATAACTAATTTTTTTTCACTTATTCATATTTTCAATAGATGTCTTTGGTATTAACGGTTTAAGTGCATTATAATGTTCTAATTAAGAATTTTGTCAGAGAAGCTGGGTGCAGTGGCACATGACTGTAATCCCAGTGGCTGGGAAGACTGAGGCAGGAGGATCAAAAGTTCAAAGCCAGCTTCAGCAATTTAGCAGGGCCCTAAGCAACTCAATGAGACCCTGTCTCTAAATAAAACACAAAAAAGGGCTGGGGATGTGACTTAGTGGTTAAGTGCCTGAGTTCAATTCCTGGTACATATATAAGTAGATAAATAAAAAGATTTTTGTCAGAACTATTTGCTTAAAAGTACATCTGTATCTCAAATAGACAATTCAGTAGATACATGCACTAATACTAAAACTTACCCGATATAAATCGTTGTTTGTCAGGGAGAAGGGCAAGTTGGATACATACACTGTGCTCTTACTTGGAGCTAAGCCACCACTCATTTCTAAAAAAGGAAAAAAAAAAAAAAAAAGCGACCTATAAGCAATGTAAACCAGGCATTCCTCATTCCAAGTAAAACCAAGTGTTGGCCACCACTAATTTAATTTACATGCCTTTCTTACAAACGTAAAAAGTCAGAGTCAGTGAGTCCAGCTGGATGAATTAAGGAATTCATTTCCCCAGCCACCACTTTAAGAGTTTTTAATATGGTCCTTCTTTCAAGTAAATTCTTTAATCTTTTAGTGCTGGACTGTGTATGAGAGGAGGGCTTTCCAAAAGATGAAAGCAAATCCTTGAGATCACCTTTTACTTCCCCTTAGGATAAAAGCAAGAAAGTACTTTCAAATAGGTAGTATACCTTGCCATTCACCTCAGAGAGTCTGGTGACTCATACAGAACCACTGCCACTAATTTTTTTTTTTTTTTTTGTAATACTTTGGGTACTTTTTTGGGGTTGTATTCGTATCAAGAGGAAATTTTAGGCTCACTTTTTGACAATGTAAAATTATTTTTAACACTTAATTTTGCACTTTGTTGACAAATTATGAATTACAGCATTTTATGAGAGCTTCCAAGGTATAGTGTTTTACATATACACGTTATGTTTAAGGTTACAAATATAACCTCTAATTAAGTTTCACAACTTATTTTACAAAGTCAGCAAATTACCCATGAAAACTATTTCGGGATTAACCAATTTTTTTCTTTAATTCTTTCTTTTTGGTATGGGGGATTGAACCCAGATCCTCAAGCTAAATTCACATTTTTGCACATGAAATCCATGTGTGCCATGTATTTGAGTTAACAGTATGAACTATCACAAACAGCAAAATACTGATTCCAATTTATGTCAACTTGCAAAGTATTGGAAAATTTGCTTATACTAGGTGTTTGGGGGAGAATTATTTAGAAAACTTTAGAAACTCAACATCAACAAGTCGCTTTTAAAAGTTCCTCATTTGAGCCCATTCACACATTAGACATTCTGGTAAGAAACTCGAGGCAGGCAAAGGTTGATGTTCAGCACTAAAACCGCGGTGGCGGGAGAGGTGGCAAATCGTTTTGGCTACCGGGTAGGAGAAAAAGGCCGCAAGTGAGGAGGCGTTTACCTTCAGGTGGGGCAAGCCCGGGAAACCAGAGGACCACCAGCCTCGGCTCGGCTGGGGCTCAACCCAGACTCTTCCTCGCCGCGGGCAGCGGATTTGGCATCACCTGTTCCTGCAGGGGTCAGAGGAAAATACCGGGCGGTAGAGCCACCCGTACCCCTTCCCGGTTCGCCTTAGACCCGGGCCCCGGAGGCGGGCCAAAAGGCGCGCGTCAGTGATGTCATAGCGCGCGCCGGAAGTGCTTCCTTAGGATAGTGGCGGCGAGCGGACAACTACGTTCCAGGTGTCTCCCGGCGGCCCAGAGTAGGTGAGCGCATTTTACTTTTGCTAGAGGTGACGGGACGCTTGAGCTGGCAGCTACGCCTCGGGGGAGCTGGCGGGTGGTTCCCGCTGAGGAACCTGGAGTCTCCTGCTGCATTTCAGTCGTGCAACAGTTCTGCCCTTGCGATTGAGGGTGGAGAGACGCAGTGGATTTTGGAATAAAGGAAAGTATCGAGTCTAAGTTAGATATTCGCCTCTCTTTAGTATTCTAATATGCAGAAAGAGTACTGAGCTAGGTGACCTAAGTGACTCAACATCAGTCAGTCAAGAAATCGGCAATTTTATTGAATGTGTTCTACGTACTCACCTCGGTTTTAGGCACTTTAGGAAATAACAACAACAAAAAATTGCAAACCAGGACTTTTTTTTTTTTTCCCCTCGTGGCGGTGATTTCAGTGTAGTCGGGGAGACAAGGCCAACTCGGGGAAAGTTGGATTCACAGAATGACTAATCTTGATTGGTATGTTGAACTTCTTGGCCCCTCCCCCACGCCCCTCCCCCCACGCCCTCCCGATCTGTAATGGGCACGAACAGCTTTTTCTCTAAGAGGTCCTAACGGGCCCATCATTCCTACTGACAAAATCAAAATAATGCAAGGTAGTTTATACTTAACTTCTACCCACCAGCACATACAGATCAGGCCTCTAACTACTCCCTGGGAGCCTGCGTGCCAGCAGCTTGGAACCCACAGCCTGTCCTGGAGCCTGCACAGTCCATCCAGACTGAAGCTGATGTCTTCTGGAGAGACGGAAGTGCAATCCATCCAGGGCGCAGCTGAATTTTGCGAGGCCTGAATGCCTCGGCGTCCACCAAAGGACCGCTGGTACTAATTCTCTTGGCAAACTGTGGCCAGCCAAACCTATCATGCTTCACATCCCAGTTATCCTTGGTTACCGCCCAAGATGTAAGCCCCTTTGGTATTCTATGCTATATTCCCTTATCTTCTGCTGCTTTGTGTTTCTTTTCCCGTGATTTAGGCTCTTGGTTTTCTTAAGCATCTAACCCCTCAGCACCCATCCTGTGCTCTCTCAAACCTTTTTTCTGCTTTTGCTCATTTACATATTCAGCCTTTTTACTGGGGTTGTTTCATTTCCTGACCTTTATTAACACGTGGTTTTTCCTGCTAATCATTTCAATTGAGTCCTTTCTTTGACACCTACATTGAAAGTTGGCAGTGACTCTTGCCATATTGAACTAGTTTCATTACCTCAAAATACTTTTTTATCTCCTCAGTGTCTTTGGAAAGGCTCTTTTCTCTATTTGGACATTTGGTTTCCCTGTCCCCACCTACCTCTTTCTGGATAACTCCTATTCTTGCTGTCACTTTATTTGAGGGCGTTTCCTAACTTAGAGTTAATTTTCTTTACCTTCCTTAAATGCTCTCTGCTTAGCTTTTAGAGCTTATCACATGTATTCTAAATGTTTCTCTATTTGCCTATCTGCTAAGCTAAGCTGTGAAGGAGAGACTGTACTTGTTTTCATTTTTGTAATTTCAATATCTAATACAGTTACTGGTATATAATAGGCAGTCAGGTAGTTCTTGAATGATTGTAGATGCTGAAGGTATGGTTTCAGTGGTCAAGGCACTTAAAATTAATATGTAAAGAACCTGAGGGAAGGGATCAACTGCTATTCAGTTAATTGTGACTTATAGATAATTGTGACTTGTAAGAATGTGATCCTAGTGTTGTCAGAACATTTAATCTGTTCAAGAAATGTTGGGAAAAATGTGTTTTTTTTTTTTTTGAAAACACTACTTTCAAATTTTTATAAAATATTTTCTTAATTGTAGATGGACACAATACCTTTATTTGATTTTATTTATTTATTTTTAATGTGGTGCCAGGGATCAAACCCAGTGCCTCATGCATTCTAGGCAAGCATTCTGCCACCGAGCCACAACCCCCCCCCCCCCCCGCCCCCGGGCCCTATTTCTAAGTTTTTTAATAATATTGTTAATGGAATAAAATCTTGGTTTAAAAAAAAACCAAAAAACCACAAGCCAGATAAAGTCACAGGTGACTTATCATTCATCAGTTTGGAATCTGTATTAAGTGCTGTAAGTTTTAGATAATGGATTTTGTAGAGAATAGCAGATTGTGAATTGGGCCTTGAGGTATGGTTGGAAGTTGAATGATAGAATGAAGGAGGTGTTTTGGTTTGGAAAATAACTCAATTATAGGATAGAATATCCTGTTTTGTGTCACAGGAGAATGGCATGAATAATACTTTTGGGAAGAGTAGGAGATGGTAGAAGTAGGCATTTGAAATGCAGGAATTTTGATTTATTAGGCTTAATTAATAAGAAACTATTTGGATTCTTAAGGATAGCATAAATTGCTGGGTATGATAACACACACCTGTAATCCCAGTGATTTGGGAGGTTGAGGCAGAAGTATTAAAAGTTCAAGGCCACACTAGGAAACTGAGATCTGTTTTTTACTGGGAATGTAGTTCAGTGGTAGAGTACTACTGGGTTCAATCCCCAGTTTAAAAGAAGAAAAAGAAAAAAAAAACGAAAGCACACATTAAGAATACATATTAATAGTTAATTTTTTTTTTTTTTTTTAGGTAAAATACTGAAAGGAGGCTGACCAGTTAGCCTTTAACTTCATCTAGGTGTGAAGTAAGATGTGAAATAAGGTTTAGATTTATAAATATTATACTTAGGCAGACATCTGGCATTTTTGTCTACTTGTGTAATTTCATTTATCATAGTGGACAGTCACAAATCTAAGTTAATGAAATAAAAAGTTTTTTTTAAAACTAAATGCATTTTTAAACTTATACATTAAAAATATAAAAATTGTTTGTATTGGGGGTACCATGTTATGTTTTGATACATGTATATGTTGTTATGTTTAAATCGGGCTAAACATTTATCTCCTCAAACAATTATCATTTCTTTATGGTAAAAATTTTCAGAATTCTTCTAGCTTTCTGAAATGTATAGTCTACTATTGTTTTCTGTAGGCACACCAGAACTTCTTGCTCCTGTGTAACTGTAACTTAGTATCCATCTGTCAACCTTTCCCCCCATCCTTCTCTCTCCATTCCTCCTCCCCAGCCTCTGTAATGACCATTCTATTCTGAACTAAAAGTTTTAATTTTTTCCTGTTGCTGGGAATTCAACTTAGGGTTTGGACATGCTAGGCAAGCTACATCTCCAGTCCTTTTTATTTACTTAATTTTGAGACAGGCCTGGGTAATTTAGCGAGACCCTATCTCTAATTTATGATACTCTTGCCTTAAAACTCCCAAATAGCTGAGATTACAGGCATGTGCCACCATGCTTGGCTAAAGTTTATAATGAAATATATATTTTTAAATTATTTGTTCTTTTTAGATATACATTAGAGTGTATTTTGACATATTATACATACATGGGGTATAACTTCCCATTCTTGTGCTTGTACATGATGTGGAGTTACACTGGTTATATATTCATAAATAATCATAGGAAAGTTATGAACGATTCATTCTACTCTTTTCTATTCCCATCCCCCAACTCTTCCCTTCATTCCCCTTTTTCTAATTCAGTAAACTTCCATTACCTCCCTCTTCCTCTTATTGTATGTTAACATGCACATATCAGAACATTTGGCTTTTAGTTTTTTGGAATTGGCTTATTTCACCTAGCATGATAGTCTCCAGTTCCATCCATTTATTGACAAAAGCCATACTATCATTCTCTCTCTCTCTCTCTCTTTTTTTTTTTTTTGGTACAAGGGATTGAACTCATGAGCACTCAATCACTGAGCCATATCCTTATCCCTATTTTGTATTTTATTTAGAGATAGGGTCCTTAGCACCTTGTTTTTGCTGAGATTGGCTTTGAACTCTTGATCCTCCTGCCTCAGCCTCCAAAGCTGCTGGGATTATAGGCGTGTGCCACTGTGCCTGGCTTTATTCTTTTCTATCCATTCTTCTTTGTGACTGAGTAATATTCCATTGTGTGTGTGTGAATGTGTATGTATATGAGCCACATTTTCTTTATCCATTCATCTGTTGAAGGCGCCTAGGTTGGTTCCATAGCTTAGCTACAGTGAAGTGAGTGGCTATAAACATTGATGTGGCTCTGTCACTTGAGTATGCTGATTTTAAGTCCTTTGGGTATATGCCAAGGAACAGAATAACTAGGTCAAATGGTGTTTCCATTCCAAGTTTTCTGACGAATCTCCATGTTGCGTTCCAGAGTGGATGCACCAATTTGTAGTCCCACCAGTAATGTATGAGTGTACCTAAAAGAAGTATTATTAAAGCATTGAATAGGCAGTGACTTCTGAAAAGTAAAGAATGCAATACTTTAAAAATTTTGTTATATGATTCATAATGGGAGCAATCAGTGATCTCCCTGCCCCCGGCTTCTTCTCTAATCCATTTTGTGTATTGCCAGGTTAATCTTTTCTATTGACACTCTCCCTCCTCACATTATTTCTAGGCTTAGAAGTCTGTAGTGGGCTTTGTGTCTAGAATTTTGCTTTGGTACTATTTAATGACCTTGAATTTGTTCTCTCTGTCCTTGCCTGTCTCCTTTGTGAAGCAGTATGATACTGTTGGAAAGAGCTTAAACCTTAAAGTCATGCATGCCAGAGTCTGTCTCCAGGCTTCAATGAACCCTGGAATTTAAGCTTTTCAGAGGTTCCACAGTTTTTGGAAAGTGAGAGATAGTATCTCTTTTTTTAAGATTGTGTGGGTAAGGTGTTTACATGTTTTGAAACTCAGTTGCACAGATTCTTGCATATAGAGGAGGAAATGAAAACTTGCTGAATACCTAAGTAGGCTTTTCCCCCCATTCCTTGCCATGTGAATCTGCTTTGGTCAATTCTGGTTTTTTTTTTTTTTTTTTTTTTTTTTTAAAACATGTCTCCCTAATACCTTT